GGGGTTACCCGTAATGTTGCAGAAAGGGACTTGCGTTTGGATTTAAAGTAAAATGATATTCTGCGAGAGTTTTGCTCCTGAGTTGTTTGCTGTTGTGGCTGTAGCTGTGGTCGTTGCTGTTGAGCGGGTTGTTCAGAAGGGTATCCATTAGACAAGGAGGTATTGATGCCATTATTTGACGACAGAGCACGATTGTGAAAGACTCTCTTGTTTTGTTGTCTACCACCACTACTAGAGTTATCGAGAACTCTTTTTGAGGGTGGGGTAGATGTTTGTTGAGGACGTTGTTGTAAAGCAAGAGANAGAAGCAGAATTGATGCTTGCTTGCGTCTGTTGATTTTCAAGTAGCTGTTGATCAGCTCCTAAGGCATATTGTGGATTCGTGCGAATATAGTTGACCAAAGTTTTATCAGGCATATTGGAGTTCAAGTTAAGCTGTTGTTGACTATTTTGCATCTGATTAGACATGTCACATGAATATTGATGAAACCGACCATCACGATACCTATTCCCATTACCCCTCTGATTAGGGTAATTGGAATTCATTCTTGACACTTGCGCACGTGCTCACTCACGTGTCAATGTTGGAAGGGAGAAGGAGCAGAAAGGAGAAAAAGATGATATATCTGACGATTTTTTTTTGACGACGACAAGGTGGAATAAGACTAGGGTATATGATGTGATATGCAAACGCTACTGATGATATGATTGAAACAAGAAGAAAATGAAAAACAATAAATACCTTCAATGTCAAGAGCTGTGTTGGAATATTGAATTATGTAACTGATCTCTTTTATTTTCGAGATACGTATTATTGACGAATAATATTGGGACAACTGTCAAGAATTTTATTCATTATTTCAACTAGTGACACTATCATTATGTGTGAGCGCGATAAATAGACTCGCTGATCGATGTCATTACACTCCATTGCGATGTAGTCCATTGCTTTTCATTTTCTTCTATACACATCAAATGTTATTTCAACACCTTCTCTATTGTAATATGCAATACGGTCGATTCGATTGTATACGTCAGTTCATATCATCATACATTATGGCGGTTTTTTGAAATAGAAGGATCAATATCTCCTCCGATGTAATCTTGTTTGCTTTCAAGACGACGAAAACTACTAGTAGTTTTTTACCAATGTCGTTTTATGAAATCTAGCAGTATTGGCAATCTATGCCGAAACCTATCTGTGCTTTGCATGATTTCTAAATATAATATATTCATTAGAATTAAACTTTGATACCAATCATTCAAGGCTGTATCTAAAGCTTTGTTAATCTTTTTCTTTCGAAAAATCATATAAAAAGGATGTGATTGATTTGAAAAGCAATCATTCTAACTTACAATATTAGAATATGCTTCGAATCATCGCTTTCGTTCTATCTCTTGCTCTTGCCAATGTTGTCACAGGGGATGATGTTGAATCTGATCAACCCCAATGTGTAATAAATTATGGTAAGAATCTTGCTGATTTTCCATGTAATGGCTATCTCTCGACGGATCCAAAATGCAACAATAGTTTTCTGAATATCGTTAATACTTCATACTACCACTGCTCGGAAGCACGTATATTTTGGAATTATCCAATGCAGAACTTGACGGTGACTATCGAATCAGCAAATTATACCAAGTCAAAACAACTATATTCAGTCTCGTTAACAGGTGGCATGTTGCCAACCTACCGAATTTATCCAAATGGAAAAGAATTTCTTATTACAAATACAACAGCAGAAAAAATTGTAGAAATATCTGATGAAAACTATCAAGTTGTGTTGAAATTTCAAGGACCAAAACGCCTGACTTTTTATGGAGCAGAAATCGAATATCAAGTTGCACCAGTTTATTTTTAACATTTTTCGACTTCGCATGTTTCAAAAAGGATAATTCATGTTCGTGTGAGAATGCAATTGAAAAAAGAAATATTCCTCTTTTTTCTTTTATTCCAATAAAATCGAGAAATTATGCAATAGTTTGATTAAAAGGTAGTTTAGAATTAGTACTATGTTATTCATGCATAGTGATTATATTTTTAGATCTATGTATATTAAAGAATCATATGAATAGTTCTGTCAAGGCACTTTTACTTGAAATACACAACTTTTCAAAAAATTTTCTAGATTTAGTTTTTGAAATCGCTTCTAGCATACACGATAAAGATCATATACTCATTGGGTGTTCTGGACACTGAAAAGATAAGCTGAAATTGTCGATTTCAAGGAACAAGTCTACTCCGACACAGGAAAGTGCCTTAACTAACGATTATCAACACTTTATTGAATGAATTGCTTTAAGTAATTTACTTTTGACCTTTTTTTAAAGAGAATTGAATATATCTTTCGAAATCTTACTGACCTGCATTCTGAATTAGAATTTGCATGAGATAACAACTTTGGAATATGCTGTCGGCCACTATCTCATCTCTTTCTGACAGATCAACCTTCAAAAAAAATGTATCATGTCTGACTTGCTCATTTCAACTGTTTAAATCCTAGTCTCAATCCTGTCCATTTCTTGAGAAAACGTGGAAGAATCTTTCAAGATCCTGAATCTCTAGGATCTTGTCAAGTTTTTTTCAGGATCATGTTTCCAATCCTAGTAATTCCTGTTTCCAGAATTTTTCAAAGTAAAACAAGATCCTGTTCAGGATTTTTTTCAAGTTCTTGCTCAAATATTTTTCTGAGTTGAGAATAGAGGATCCTATCAGGATTTACTCAAGACCCTTGATAGGATCCTCTCAAGATTATTAGACAGGATTCTGATAAGATTTTATTAGGTTCGCGTCAGGATCTAGGTCAAATCTTTGTGTCAGGAATGATAGCCACATCAAATGGGGATCTTGACAAGAGAGTAACAAGATCAATCAGAGTACAAAACTAACTAATCCTGCAAAACTTCAATCAGGATCTTGTTCAGAACTTTTCAAGAATATGCGCTTTCAAACCGTGCATGAATATGAGCGGACTTGTTCAAGAGCAGGTATTTAAAAAATAAAAGTATAATCAAGATCTTGATAAGAAAACACAAGAAGCCAGTTTACATCTTTTCAGATTTATGTTTAGAGAGTAATATTCAAAACTTAATTTTCTGAATCCTGTCAGAAATCTAGCAAGAATGACTGAAACGATTCTCTCACGTTTTCCGTTAGGTCCATGAGGTCATGATCCTTTTAAGATTTGTAAATCTATAGATCACAACAGAATTTCAGTAACAATATTGAGCACAATCACAACAGAAATAAATATAAGAATTTTTGAAAACGTTACTTACGAGGGAACATCCTCAACTGTCAAATCGCTTTTGAATCGGCTATAGCGTCAAATGATAGACCTCAATGAGTTATTAAACACCCTACAAGGGTTTGGTTTTCCGGGCTTCCTACATTGAGATATAGGTTTACGACTATTATCAGTTTCTCTATATTATGTCATACGTTGATAATCGTTTAGTAACTTAGTATAGATAGATAGATGAATCCATTACCTTGCGGTGTGGGGTAAAACACAGAAAAAGAAAAACGAAATGGAACACAAAAGTTGGTCTGTGTTTGTTTGATAGCAAGATGAGTTTAAAGTCCACAAACGGGTTGCTAGCCCGAGGTCTAAACGAGTAGCTGCGGCAGCCAAGGGTCGCTAACCCCTGTAGAAGTTCGAAAACTTCCCCGCTAGGCACAACTTAGTATAGGATATTGTGAACTAGTTCAAACTTATGTCATTTGAAAAGCACTTAGTACTGATTAGGATCTCAGAGTTCACAGATAAATGAGTCTTTTTTTACCAAAGATATAAAGACAGTTATATCGTATAATCAATAATCATTCAAAAACAACGTGTTTTCTAATTCAGCGTTGCTAGTATAATGTTGATTCATCCGATATTTTCAGTAGGAATTCATTTGATTGTTAGCATAAGAAAGAAGAGATTAGTTCATTAGTTGATGCTTTCGTTAATGGAAATTATAAGAATCAATCTCACATACGTTTCAGTACGTAATACATGATGCTCTGACATATTAGACTTAATTCTCGTGTGAACATTGATATCTGGTATATGCATTTTACGAATCTCATTTGAATATATCCTTTTTCTTCGAACATATGATTTCTATGTAGTTGTCGGCAATAGAGCGCGAAGAGAGAATTATGAACTAATTTCTCCAGAATGACAACAATATGTCTGATTGGAGAAGAAATATCTAGAAAAGCACATGTTCTTACTAAATATATATATATCATCACGATAAATGTTTCTGACTAGTTTTTGAAGTAAATCACATAGAAATACGGAAGTTGTTAATCGTATAATGAAAAATCTCTCCTAGTGAATTTCAAATGGTATAAGTTTGAACTAGTTCACAATATCCTATACTAAGTTATTAAACGATTATCAACGTATGATATAATATAGAGAAACCGATAATAGTCGTAAACCTATATCTCAACGTAGGAAGCCCGGAAAACTAAACCCTTGAAGGGTGTTTAATAACTCATTGAGGTCTATCATTTGACGCTATAGCCGATTTAAAAGCGATTTGACAGTTTGGGATGTTCCCTCGTTAGTTTTCGTTTGGAACACAATAAAATTCTATGAACTAAATTATCTATTGACACTTTTACTTTAATCGTGATTTAGTCTTTCTAACTAAACAAATAGAACGAATCTTAAAAATCGTACGAAAAAATTTCCTAAGTCTCTTTGAAGTTTATATAAAATTTATTTTGAGATTCGGAATACAACAAAGAGTTCTTTTTTAATCTTATCACCAAAAGAAAATCGGAAACCATTAAATTGTGATATTAATGTTAATTTAGTTACAAAATTTTTCTCGTTAAATAGATAGTTTTAGTTAACGGCAAATCTTTCGATAAAAACTGCTTATACTTTTGATTATATTCGAAAAAAAATTCCAAATATATTTTTTAAATCAAATTCAAATCATAAAAATAGTAAATTTCACCGATTAAAACAAATATCTAACATAGTATTGTATTTTCAGAATTTTCTAGAAATAATATATATTTTCACATAGAATTCAAATAGACGTTTATATTAAAGTAAAAAATCAACATATTGAGCGTTGACATGATATAGAATGACATGGCACATTCAGCCGGGTACGCTGATCGGTATGTAAACTAAAGGTCTAGAGATCGATACTCTATGTGTTCATTTCTTTTTCTGTTCTATTTAGAAAAATCTTGCCAAGATCCTATCAAGACATTGATAACATCTTGAAAGAAACCTAGTACAATCTTACCAAGACCTTGTCAAGTTATCCGATAATATCTTCCAGAAAATCTAGTCAAATCCTGAAAGGTATGACCAGAAATATTTCTTTTTTCGAATTTTTAATTATTGAAATCCTGGCAGGATTCTTGGATTTCACGACTACACGTTTCTTTCAGGATTTATGGGTTTCTTTGCTGATTTCGGTTAAGAAAAGCTATGATATTCCTGTCAGGATCATTGAAAATCTTGCTTTAAATCCTGACAGGACCGTTGAATTACACGGGTACACATTTCTTTCAGGATTTATTCGTTTCCTCAGGAAAAAAGAGCGAATCCTTGCAGGATCCTGAACATATCTGGAAAGGATCTCGCACTGAAAAGTCAAAGATTTTCCTTAGGAAAATTCTACGTTATTTAATGAATATATCGTTTCATAATTGAAATGCTTTTGTTCTAGTTTCTCATGAATGTCGTTCTTTAAAATCTAAAAGTGCTGATAATCCATGTTAAAGACTTATACGCGCGCTGCATGATTTTTATTATCAAATATTCGAGATAATATTGATAGCCTCTTTATTGTATTTTTTCTTTTACTATCTACATTCTGAATGATTCGGCCATACAGTACGCACCTGCTACAATGAAATTTTGATATCAATCATTCAGGGTTATACCAAAAGCCTTGTTAATCTGTTGTTTTTGCGGTAAATTCATAGGAAAAGGATGTGATCGATTTGAAAAGCAATTATTCTAACTTACAGTACCAAAAACATGCTTCGAATCATCGTTGTCGTTCTATCTGTTGCTCTTGCCAATGTTATCAAGGGAGGCGATATTGAATCTGACAAATCTCAATGTGTACTAAACTATGGTACGACTCTTCCTGATTTTCCATGTAAGGGTAATCTACCCTCAAATTTTAAATGCAACAACACTTTTCTAAACATCGCTAATACACCCTTCTACACTTGTTCAAATGTAAGTTTATTTTGGAATTATCCAATGCACAACTTGACAATCACGATTGAAGCAGCAACTATACCAAGTCAACCCAGGCAGACATTTTTTTAGACCAAACGCACTGCTAAACGCGTTTTTTTTGCACGAAAAACGTGTCTGAACGCGTTTTCTTACAACTGGAACGCGTTTGGATGCGTTACTCGGTGATAAATACGTTAGAATGAAACGCGTTTGGCTGCGTCAGAAACTGACGCGCTAAACCGCTGTGAAAATAAACTCATCTTACCGCGTTCAAATGACTAACACGTTCGAACGCATTCAAGTTAAGCGCGTTTGGACGCGTTAATGTCTCCCAAACGCATCTGAACGCAACAGAAACAAATGCGTTTAGGTGTATTTACTAACTAACGCATTTCGCATCGTAATTCGATACCTTTAACGCAGCTGAACGCGTTTGGCAGCATTTCGTAGATGCTGCTGCTAAACGCGTTATAATCTAACGTGGTTCACCGGATTTAAAGCATATTCCTTCGCAGTATAGCGAAAAGAAGGTAGATAACCAAAGGGAGCAGGACCACAAAGCAGATCAAGAGGATCAGAGAAAACGCAACTTAGTGAAATTTACTTATCGTTAGTGCAAGACCTCAAGCATCTTCTGTTTTCAC